CCCGTCTCTACTGAAAAATACAAAAACTAGCCGGGCGAGATGGCGGGCGCCTGTAGTCCCAGCTACTCGGGAGGCTGAGGCAGGAGAATAGCGGGAACCCGGGAGGCGGAGCTTGCAGTGAGCTGAGATCCGGCCACTGCACTCCAGCCTGGGCAACAGAGCGACACACCGTCTCAAAAAAAAAAAAAAAAAATGTTTTAAAAATTAGCCAGGCTTGGTGGCACGTGCCTGTAGTCCTAGCTACGCAGAAGGCTGAGGCAGGAGGATCACCTTAGCCCAGAAGGTTGAGGTTATCGTGAGCTATGAGACTGCCACTGCACTCTAGACTGGGTGACAGAGTGAGACCCTGTCTCTAAAAAAAGTAAAAATAAAATAAGATTGCATTTCAGGACCAGCAGTGAAGGCCAACAAGGTACTTTCAGTTTTAACATCTTACTTTTCTCTCGCTCATTACAAGGAGCTTAAGTTATTTTCCAAAGTAAAAACAGTCTTTGAGTGTGAGATAAATCATCCTAGGGGTCCTGTCCCTTACTTTCCCAGGACTCCCCTGCCGTCGTCCTGCTGCTCATGTTCATTAGTTTTGTTTTTGTTTTTTTAAGACAGGGTCTCACTCACGTCTCCCAGGCTGAAGTGCAGTTGGTGTAATCACAGCTCGCTGTAGCCTTGCCTCCCTGGGTTCAAGTGATTCTCCCATCTCAGCCTCCCAAGTAGCTGGGACTACAGGCACATGCTACATGTCGAACTAATTTTTTGTTATTTTTAGTAGAGACAAGGTTTCGCCACGTTGCCCAGGCTAGTCTCGAATTCCTGGGATCCAATGATCCGCCTACCTCAGCCTCCTGAAGTGCTGGGATTACAGGCATGAGCTACTGAACCAGATCACACATCCCATTAGTTTTTAAGCCCCAAAATCTAAACCCATCAGCTGCCAACTGGCACCCCTGTAAGTTTGACCCTCCCAAATCCCCCAGGACCTTGTCTCCTGGATTTACAGTCCTCCTCTGGCCTTCCCAGTGTAAATGCAGCATTCTGACTAACCCATAAAGTCTTCAACGTGAGACCCTAGAAGTTGCTGTGTTAGTTCCAAATGCCCAGCAGAGAATCTACAAAGGGCAGAGGTGGCCCAAAAACCTGAGGAAGAGACTGACACTTTTATCCTCATGCTCAGATACAAACACAAAGCAAGAAAAACCCCAGCCCTTCAGTAGTGGGTCTGTAATCAACTGGGCTCTCACTCCTCCAGAGGCACTTGCCTGGAAGAACAGATACTGTTCAAGGAATGACACCTTTTACTGCCTTACAAGTAAAACTTCTATTCATAGTAGATGAAAAATTGAAAATCTTCAATAAGAATTAACTAATTTAAGAAGATCATAATCTCAGCAACGTGCAAAAAGTTGGTTTAACAAGTTATTTGTTATTGTTTTTCTTGTCAGGTTGTTCAAGCTCATAAAAATATACATTCCTTGGTCAAGTATACTACAATCAGCCCTCCTTTCTTCCTTGAGTAACTAGGCAAGTTCTCAAAAAATATGACGACTCTTCAGCACCAGAGCTAAGCAGATACCAAGTCTGCACACCTCCTTAGGGTACCCCATAAAAGCAGGTAAACTGCTTACCACCACTCCCTGCTGATGAGGAGGAAGGAACTATGGCACAGTCCACAGACAGCAAGTATAAAGCACATCTAAACAAATAGGCATCAGAATGAAAGTGGGCAGGCTTGCAGTTAGGTTGATCCCCAAACAAATGTGGCTGCAGCCTCAACAATACCATCAAATTTGTGTAGAAAAGGGATCTTTGCCAAATGCAGTGGCTCACACCTGTAATCCCAGCCCTTTTGGACGCTGAGGATTTTTTCTGGATGCTTTTTTCCTGCTGAAGCAGGAGGATTGCTTAATGCCAGGAGTTCAAGACCAGCCTGGGTTAAAAAAAGTGAGACCCTGTCTTTACAAAAAAAGTTTTTTTGTGTTTTTTTGAGACGGAGTCTTGCTCTGTCGCCCAGGCTAGAGTGCAGTGGCGTGATAGCCGGACGTGGTGGCGGGCGCCTGTAGTCCCAGCTACTCGGGAGGCTGAGGCAGGAGAATGACAGGAACCCGGGAGGCGGAGCTTGCAGTGAGCTGAGATCCGGCCACTGCACTCCAGCCTGGGCGACAGAGCGAGACTCCGTCTCAAAAAAAAAAAATAAAATAAATAATAATAATAATAAAAAATATATAAATCTCAGACACTAGGGCATATAAAAATCTGAATGGGCAGGTGAGTAGTTATACCAAAAAGTCATATCCAATGTTAGTTTCACACTTGCAAAGCAAAAATAACCTATTCTTATAAAACAAACACTGAAGGGGGACGTGAGATTTTTGCAATCCCCATGAAAGCTGAGACAAGCTCACACAGCCCATGGGTCATCTCATTTGAGTGTGCAGCTTTAGTTAGGAAGGCCTGTTGGCCCCAAAGCAGCCCAAACTAAAAGAGCAAGACAAGGTTCAAGGCAAGGAGCCATAACGGGTGGGCTCTTCTAACAGGTGGGGTTAAGGTAGAGTAATATGGCCTGGGGAACTTGGGCCATAGCACCCCAGGGCCAGACCAAGCAACGTGGCAGCCTTCCACAAACCCAGACTTAGGAGATGTAGCCCAGGTTCCAAATGGGCACATTCTCACAAACTAAACGCAAAAGCAACAACACTAGAGCCAGATGTTCTGCTTCTTGTTAACATGTTTCATTCCATTAAAAGAAGTTTTACTCTTCCTTAGGTTTGGGATTAGACACTCCAATTTCGAAAACACATAGGAGTGTCTCAAGTAAGATACGTGGATACACAGAGAAAGCAAACAACATTAATTAGCCAGGTATGGTGCCACGCACCTGTAATCCCAGCTACTCGGGAGGCTGAGGCATGAGAACAGCTTGAACCCGGGAGGCGGAGGTTGCAGTAAGCCGAGATCGCACCACTGCACTCAGGCCTGGGTGACACAGCGAGACTCCGCCTCATAAAAAAAAAAAAACCCTGAATTTCAAAGGGAGTACATCCCAGAAATTTGTTTAGTTTTATTTTTTTGAGACAGAGGCTCCCGCCACCACACCCAGCTGATTTTTGTATTTTTAGTACAGACAGGGTTTCACCATGTTTGTCAGACTGGTCTCAAACTCCTGATCTCAAGTGATTTGCCCACCTCGGCCTCCCAAAGGGATGGTATTACTGGCGTGAGCCACCACCCTCGGCTCTTTATTTTTCCTTTTTGTTTTTTTGAGATGGCGTCTCACTCTGTCACCCAGGCTGGAGTGCAGTGGCGCGATTTTGGCTCACTGCAATCTCTACCCACTGGGTTCAAGCGATTCTCTTGCCTCAGCCTCCTGAGTAGCTCGGATTCCAGGCACGTGCCACAGTGCCCGGCTAGTTTTTGTATTTTTAGTAGAGATGGGGTTTCACCAGGTTGGCCAGGCTGGTCTTGAACTCCTGACCTCGTGATCCAACCACCTTGGCCTCCCAAAGTGCTGGGATTACAGGCGTGAGCCACCAAGCCTGGCCCTGGCCCTTTCTTTAAAAGGTAGGGCAGACCAGGCGAGGAGGCTGAGCGTGGAGAATGGCGTGAACCTAGGAGGCAGAGCTTGCAGTGAGCCAAGATCGCACCATTGCACTCCAACCTTGGTGACAGAGCGAGACTGTGTATCAAAAAAAAAAAAAAAAAAAAAAAAAAAAGTAGGGCAATGATGGGGATGGGCACAGTGTAGATGAAACAAGATTGGCCAGCAATTAGTAACTACTGAAGCTGGTGATGTGTGACAGACCCAAATCAACTGTGCATCATCTCGGCAAATTGACTTCTCCAAATCCTGAGGTGGGCTCTAAATTCAATTTTTGGAGAAAAGGACATTTCCTTGCCACCATAATATACTGTAAAACACAACTACTTCTTATTACTTTTATCACATGGTGCACAAATGGGCAAAAACATAATTTATTTAAAAATACAAATACATGCTTTAAAATGTAATAACATGAGAATAATCAACTGCTTACTTTCTAATGTACAAGAGTGTGTTCAATTTGTTACTTAACAAGATTATCTCACTAGGTGAAATAACTTCACTTAAAGGGAAAATTCTTCCCCAATGCATCCTCTTTATGAGCCAAACAATGGAAAATTTTCACCTCAGCAAGCTGGCCTCAGAGAGGTTCAGGCTCATCCCTGTTGCCTAGAAACCAGTGACATCTCAGGAGCATACAGAAGGCTCTGGCATCCCTCTTGGAAGGGAGACTGGCAAAGGTTCAGTCAGTGGTTGCTCCTTCTTTCCCGGCACATTCCACTGCTCAGACAGATACAGGGCTAGCATACAGTGTACCTGTCTGTCACCTAGGAAGCTTTGAAGCACAAAAGAAGTCTATTATATCTGTTACACTGATTTCTAGATCTCCCAGGTCCCTGCCTTGCTCCCTCCCTACCCAGGCCCTGCATAAAAAACAAACCAACCAAACAAAAAAACTAGTTTCTACAACTGTATCAACTCTTCACCCTTTTTTTTTTTTTTTTTTGTTGCTATGTTGCCCAGGTTGATCTTGAACTGCTGGGCTCAAGTGATTCTCCATTTGATTTCTAACAATGCCTGTGAATTCTAAAGTCACAAAGAAGGTAAATCTATCGAAATGACAATGTCAGACAAGACCACAGAAAATATAAAAAAAAAATTTTAATGACAGTTAATAGTTTAACTTTTCTCAAAAGCCATCAACTTGTCTATTATGTCAAATATGATAAAGTATTCATTTGGCCCTTTCTAACTCTGATAGTGGCTAAAGTTAAAACAACACCCTGAAGCTTCTCTTTAAATACTTAACACCCAAGTTACAGGATGCAATTATACAAACCCCACAGCAACAACCTACATAAATAAGCATCTTAGTTCACTTAAAATATCACCTGGCTACAATTGCAAATACAGCAAACATTTTAAACACTAGAATTCAACAAAATTACTGTAATCATGATCCTTTATTAAAAATATCATAGAACTGATGATCTACAACATTTTTGTTACCACGTTCCAAAGTTCCAGTACTTTTTCTTAAAACTATTCAAGATGATTTTTTGTTCTATGTACATTCTGCTACGGAAATGCTTAATTCCAACCAGTGACTAGTTCTATTTCCTCTGGTATTTAAGAGCACTAGATTTTACTGGTTTCTACATTTTATTTTCACCCATTTTTCTGCTAGTGTAGCTTTCTTGATATATGAAACCGAATACAATCCTAAAATGAAATAAGGCATTAGGATGCAAAAGACAAAAGCGGTCTCTAATCAAAAGTAAAGAGTGGAAATACCACTATAAAGGTGTCCTCTTATCCATTTAAAGGCCTTTTTTCTACAGTGAGGTTAAGTGTGTAGATTTCCTCATCGAACACCATCTGACGGGCCCAAATGGCATTCAACATTCAAAATGGCTGCACATCTGCCGACCCCAGGTAACACTACCTGAGGCGCTGGGCTGACTCCCTATCCAAAGATCTGGGAAGAAGACCCCCCAACCCGCCAAATACCTGGGGAGATCGTGGCCGCCAATGACCTGGGGAGACCCCTCAATGACACCGTATATCTTGCGTTTCCCAAGACCGGGGGAGATCTCCTCAATGACCAGGAAAGATCCTGTCCCCCCACCAACCCGGGAGACCTCTCCAATGACCGGGGAAGATTCTGCACCCCCAAAATCAGGAAAATCTCTCCCTCAATGATCAGAAGAAAAATGCTCCTCCCAAATTACCCAGGAAAATCGAATCCACAAAGACCCCGGGAGATTTCCCCCACAAAGACCACGGAAGAAGTCCTTCCCAAATAAGCTGGGAGACTCCAATGATCAGAGATCCCATCTCCCAGTAGCCCAAAAAAATCTCCCTCAAAGCTCCTGGGGCACTAGGGCCATAGGACGCGAGCGTTACCTGCTGCCTCAGCCGGGTTCCTCGGCGATTCCGACCTATTGTTTCTCTCGCACCAAAATGGCTGCAGCCAGGCCGAGCCCCGCCCCCTGCACCTCGCTCCCGGTGCCCCTCGCTATTGGCTCGTCCTAGGAGCTGCGCACGCGGACTGGACAGCCTGAAAGGCGCTGTTGCTAGGGTGCCAGGATTCGCTGCAGCAGCTTCCGGAAAAGGCGGTGACTGGGGGCGGGGCCAGAGAGGGCGGAGCATTGTCCTCCGTCGGGGAGGATGGTCAGGAGGTGTGATGTGCGGTTGGGTGGACGGACTAGCTGCGGGCCGATGGACAGCAGGATACCTGGGAAACAGATGGATTGACCAACAGTCCTGGTTTGTTCAGTACTGAGCGATTTCGCAGGATGCAGGAATTTCAATGCTAACACAGAGACAGTCCACTACAAACTGGGAAGTTGGTGACTCTAGCAGATGGACAGAAGACTGGATGTGAATAGACGGAAAGAGGGACAAAAGAGTGACTGTAGACGGTGGACAAAGAAATGGTTATATATACAGACAGACAGATTATTAGATATGGAAGGGTAGACAGAGAAGTGGCCATAGAGTTTTCTGGGGACTGGTGGATGACCCAGTGCCCAAGCCAGCTCCCACCAAGCTCCACACCACAGGGCTTGTCTGAGACTCATTTGTCTTGGGCCTGTGTTGGACAGAAGGGCTCTCACCTGACTGAATGTCAGTGTAGCTGTGAAAGGCAAAGGAGAGGGTTAGTGCCACTGAGAGTGGGCAGAGCCTTATACCTGATCTCTGCTCTTTCTGTAAAGAAGGCCAGTGTTGCAGCCCTGTGTACTGGGTGTTTGCAAAGGGGTAAATTCACTCATACACTCCTTACTTCAACAAGTATTTATTAAGCACTTACACTCTGTATTGGACATACAGCAGTGAACAAAAAGGGAAAATAAATAAATATCCCTGACCTTGTAACAGTGGACAGGAGAGACTTCCTGTGAGCAGCTCCTCTCACCCTAGCATGTGGTTTCCAGGGCTCCATGTCCACCTGGTTTCCTCCAATCTCACCAGTTTCTCATCTGTGTGTTTTCTGTCTACGCTCACTCTTCCAAAATCTTATCCAGGCTCATGACTTCGAATGCCACCGTGTCAATCACTCCTAAAAGTGTTTGTCCAGTCCAGACCCTTCCTGAGTGGCAGATTCACTAGTCCCACTGTCAACTAAACGTCTGCACTCTGACTTCCAGTCATTGGCATCTCAAACGCAACTTGTGCCACCCTAACGCTGGCTCATCTGCCAAACCTACTTCACCCCACTTCCCCCAAATAGAGTGATAGCACCTCAACCCTTCTTATTGTTCAAGCCAAACACCTCAAAGTACCCCTTGACTACTCTCTTTCCCAGCTATATCCAGTGCACCAGAAAGTTCTGTTGTCCCCATCAGCATCATCTACCCAAAATGAAATCACTTCCTGCCATGTCCATACTCCACTGAGTCCAAACTGCCACCATTTCTCTCGAGGGCAATGTCACAGCTGCCTCCTGGTCTCCTGTTGCCGCCCCTGATGCCTTCAGTCTGTTCTGCACACATCAGCCTGTGAATACATGAGTCAGACCCTCCCAATTCCTGCTCAGAACCGTGGAGTACCTCCTCTCCAAGGAAAAACAGAGACAGCAGGACCCTCATGATTCCCTATTACCCCTCTGACTGTATCTTCCCGGCCAGCTTTCAGCCCTGCTGCTCAATCTCCCAGTGTTCCTCACACATCACACCCCATGCACTCTCCTCCACAGTGTATGAGCTATGGTTGTTTCCATGCCTGGATTGCACAGATTTCCAAAGGGCTGCACCCCAGCTCTCAGAGCCCCTCATTTCAGACTGTAACCTGCCCCACTCTGCCCCCAGCACTCATGATCACCTTTATCCCCTTATCCTGGCTCTATATGTTTCCGTAGCAGTTACCACCTTCTCAGAATTTTTTTATTTTTTGAGACAGAATCTTGCTGTCACCCAGGCTGCAGTGCTATGGCATTGCAACCTCTGCTTCTAGGGTTCAAGCGATTCTCATGCCTCAGCCTCCCAAGTAGCTGGGATTACAGGCGTGCACCTCCACACCCGGCTAATTTTTCTATTTTTCAATAGAGACAGGGTTTCACCATGTTATCCAGGCCAGGCTGGTTTCAAACTCCTGGCCTCAAGTGATCCATACTCCTTGACCTCCCAAAGTACTGGGATAACAGGCGTGAGGCACTGCGCCTGGCCGCTTATTAGCAGTTACCACCTTCTCATACACTTTTTTTATTTTTTGGAGACAGGGCTAGCCCTGTCACCCAGGCTGGAGCGCAGTGGTTCTATCACGGCTCACTGCAACCTCAAACTCCCAGAATCCCAAGTAGCTAGGACTATGACACCATGCCTGGCTATTTTTTTATTTTTTTTGAGACACAGTTTCACTTTGTCACCCAGGCTGGAGTGCAGTGGTGTGATCTCAACTCACTGCAACCTCCACCTCCTGGGATCAAGTGATTCTCCTGCCTCAGCCTCCCGAGTAGCTGGGTTTATAGGCATGCACCACTACAACTGGGGAATTTTTTTTTTTTTTTTTTTTTCTGAGATGGAGTCTCTCTGTCGCCTAGGCTGGAGTACAGTGGCGCAATCTTGGCTCACTGCAACCTCCGCCTCCTGGGTTCAAGTGATTCTCTTGCCTCAACCTTCCGAGAAGGTGGGATTACAGGCATGCGCCACCACGCCCAGCTAAGTTTGTATTTTTAGTAGAGACGGGATTTCTCCATGTTGGTCAGGCTGGTCTCAAACTCCTGACCTCAGGTGATCCACCTGCTTTGGCCTCCCAAAGTGCTGGGATTACAGGCATGAGCCACCACACCTGGCCTATTGTTGTATTTTTAGTAGAGATGAGGCTTCTTTGCCATATTGGCCAGGCTGGTTTCAAAATCCTGACCTCCAGTGATCCGCCTGCCTCAGCTTCCCAAAGTGCTGGGACTACAGGCAGGAGCCAGCGAGACTGGTCCTCTATTTTTTAAATTTTTAGTAGAGACAAGGCCTTGCTATATTGCCCAGGCTGGTCTCGACCTACTGAGCTCAAGCAATCCCTCTGCTTCAGCCTCCTAAAGTGCTGGGATTACAAGTGTGAGCCACTGCACTCAGCTTCACGCACTTTAAAAGTAAATGCTTATTATCCTTATATGGCATTGCCTCGCTTCTCCTACAAGAAAGAGAGGTCTGTGAAGTGAGAGTCGCCCTTTCATTCATGGATGTATCCTGAGAAATTCAAATACCAATTAAGCCCTAGATATACCAGTTGACTGACTGAATAAATTGAGTACCACACGGTGTTAAGTGGTGAGTACTGTGGAGAAAAATAAAATGGGGCAGCTAGAGGTTGGGGCAAGGTGAGAATCCCGCAGGTTAAGGTCAGGCCCAGAAGGCCCCTCACACCAGCAGAATCGCTGGGAAGCCTGGCCCACCCTGTTCCTGTTCCCTGCCTGTGGCTTCAGGACCTACAGTGGCTGCTGAATAAAGGCTCAAAAGGCACCAATCATTTGAAACTGACTTTGCAAAAATTACAACTGAGGAAATTATGACACTGAAAGAGATCAAACCTAACTGACTCCATCTTGCTTCTAACCTTTAAATTGTCCTTGTTCATTCTTGGGCATAGGATGAACTAACATTGGGAAGGAATTTAGTTTATGATTTGACTCTGAAACAAAATTGATAATAGCCCTTTCCCAAAAGACCCCCTTCTTGCCTGGGGACCAGTCTGCCTTTGTAGGACTAACAAATTAGCTACAAGATTAGAAACTACAGTTTAGTGGGGTCATGCAGCTTTTGGCTGCAAGAGTCTCAACCTCCCCAGACTGCTCCTGGGGATAACAACACTATTGTAAAACCTAAGATCAATGTCTGAGATGTTTTCAGACCCTGCACTCGATGCAGCTGACACCTCCCAGACCAGTAATCTGCCATCCCAGCCAGGTACAGAAGACAGCAAGAAAACCTCACTTTGACACCCCTGTGATTCTATCTCCAACCTGACCAATCAGCACTCCTCACTTCCTGAGCCCCTACCGGCCAAATTATCTTTAAAAACTCTGATCCCTGAATGCTCCAGAGACTGATTTGAGTAATAATAAAACTCTGATCTCCCATACAGCCGGCTGTGCGTGAATTACTCTTTCTCCATTGCAAGTCCCCTGTCTTGATAAATTGGCTCTGTCAAGTCAGTGGGCAAGGTGAACCCGTTGGGCAGTTACACATTCAGGTCCTTAACATATAGACCAGTGCTCTACCCTCTCCCCACCCCATCTCCCATTCCAGTGCTCCTCTGTGTGGGGTATAAGGCTGGGCAAGGCAGAGTCTCTTTGGAGCAGCCTGAGCATTTATTCACTCTTCCATTCCTTTTGCAAGTGCTTATCAAGGTCTGACTTAGATTAGACACCAGGGATGCAGCATGAATAAACACAGTAAGAATTAAAATGATTTATTTGTCCAGAGGTGGATGAGAGGCAACAGACAGTAAAAGAACAAATAACATAATTTTAGGCAGAGTGACTACAATGGAGAAAAGGAACCAAGCAAAAGTGCAGAGTATGGTGTTTACGTCTAAAGCAGCAGGAGAGGTAGAGAAGGGGACATCTGAGCTAAGATCAGCCCAAAGGTTGGCCGGGCGCGGTGGCTCAAGCCTGTAATCCCAGCACTTTGGGAGGCCGAGACAGGCGGATCACGAGGTCAGGAGATCGAGACCATCCTGGCTAACACGGTGAAACCCCGTCTCTACTAAAAAATACAAAACACTAGCCGGGCGAGGTGGCGGGCGCCTGTAGTCCCAGCTACTCGGGAGGCTGAGGCAGGAGAATGGCGGGAACCCGGGGGGCGGAGCTTGTAGTGAGCCGAGATCCGGCCACTGCACTCCAGCCTGGGCGACAGAGCGAGACTCCGTCTCCAAAACAAAAAACAACAACAACAAAAAAAAATGCCTGGATGTAAGGCACCTCAGAGCATTTGCCCATTTT